CTGGAGAGGTCAGAGGTCATCGCTGCTGCAGTGCCGGATCAGGACACACGGTGGCGCTGCAGCTTCATCTGCTCATGATCAGCTGATCACGTGTTTCAGACTGAAGGGTCAGTGGCAGGGTCACAGAGTACCAACAAACTCATCCAGAACAACACGTGTGTGTGTGTGTGTGTGTGTGTGTGTGAAGGTTATAAACTGATTTACATTTCAGTGAGAGAAATAAGCACTTGATCTCCAAACGAAGGAGACGGCGGCGAGGTGTTCAGCGGTGCACACACACACACACACACACACACACACACACACACACACACACACACACACACACACACACACCTGTCCTCATCTCCCGGTCCTCTGCAGTCCGGCACATCTGGACACTGACACTTCGGATAACACACCCCTGACCCTTTACACACCCTTCCTTACTTTACAAGTCGGTGAACTTACAGAATCAGCAGAGGACCAAAGAAGAATTTACCCACTGTGTGTCGTCTATAGTGTGTAGTCTATAGTGTGTGTGTCGTCTATAGTGTGTGTGTCGTCTATAGTGTGTAGTCTATAGTGTGTGTGTGTGTCGTCTTTAGGGTGTGTGTGTACTCTATAGTGCGTGTGTCGTCTTTAGTGTGTGTGTGTGTGTGTGTCGTCTTTAGGGTGTGTGTGTACTCTATAGTGCGTGTGTCGTCTTTAGTGTGTGTGTCGTCTATGTTGTTCGTGTCGTCTAGTGTGTGTGTCGTCTTTAGTGTGTGTGTGTCGTCTATGTTGTTCGTGTCGTCTATAGTGTGTGTGTCGTCTTTAGTGTGTGTGTGTCATCTATAGTGTGTGTGTAGTCTATGTTTGTGTCATCTATAGTGTGTGTGTACTCAATAGTGTGTGTCATCTATGTTGTGTGTGTCGTCTATAGTGTGTGTGTAATCTATGTTGTGTGTGTCGTCTATAGTGTGTGTGTAGTCTATGTTTGTGTCATCTATAGTGTGTGTGTACTCAATAGTGTGTCATCTATGTTGTGTGTGTGTAGTCTATGTTGTGTGTGTCGTCTATAGTGTGTGTGTAATCTATGTTGTGTGTGTCGTCTATAGTGTGTGTGTAGTCTATGTTGACGTGAATATATCAGAGTGTGTTTCAGGGATCCTGCAGGCACAGATGAAGAAGACTCGGACAGAACACACACACACACACACACTTCAGGGATATCTGAGCTTTATTGAAAACCAACAATCATGCAAAACTGATCAACTTCCTTTTTCCATCTAAAACACACAATTCTCATCTGTTCCTCTAAAACATCTGTGTGAGACACACACACACACACAGTCCATCGTCCAACATGCTTCTGACCTTCTGACCTCGTCCCAGTAAAGACAGATATCATTACACAACACACAGTTATGATTACACTACTCTACACTGAGGAATGCTGGGTAAAGAGAAGCATTCGAGCTCTTTCTCTACACTGAGGCATGCTGGGTAAAGCGTGTTCTACTCGGTGCACAGGACCGCGACCCCGCGCTCGTAGAAGTGATGCGGGTCTTCCTTGGTGGCGATGTCAAAGTCAACGGTGAAGATGAGGTCGGCCCGCGTGAAGTTCAGATACACGGGCAGTGTGACCTGCAGAGAGAGAGAGAGAGAGTGAGTGTGTGTGTGTGAGTGTGTGAGTGTGTGTGTAAGTGTGTGTGTCCACTCACCATGTTCCTCTTCTCGCTGTTGCTCTGCTTCATCCAGCGCAGTTGTGTCAGCGGGAGGTCGGTGGAGATGGTCGTGGACAGAGAGAGCTTGTTGTTTGCGCACACGGCTCCCTGCAGCTTCAGACCTGCACACACACACACACACACACACACACACATCAGCAGAGCTCACTAACACACCTTTAACCTAAGACTTGCTTAGTTGGATCATTTTTAAACTAATTTAATAACCTTTTTTAAATATCAAATATGAACCATTACTGAACTTAAACTCATGCGCACTCTCCCTCACTCTCTCTCTCTCTCTCCCTCACTCTCTCTCTCTCTCTCCCTCACTCTCTCTCTCTCTCCCTCACTCTCTCTCTCTCTCGCTCACCCTTGATGCCGAAGCTGCATGCGTCGAGTGCCGCCCCCTGTGCTGCGGTGACGTTGACCTCGAGACACAGTTCCTCCAGAGACCAGCTGTTGGCCTGAGCCACGTACTGGCGGGTGGCGGTGATGTAGGCCTCGGGCACGAACAGGCTGCCCAGGGTCACATGGATGTTCTGGAGAACGACACACACACACACACACACGTCAATGTGCGCTCGAACCCTAAACATCAACATGATGACTTATCACCAACACTTCAAAATAACTTCCTAACAATCTCCTTCAATTTTAAGTCATCTTACACACAGAAAAGATCTTGACCACCTGATCACAACACTAGAGTATGTGGGTGAACCGCTTCTCCAGGAAGTGTGTGTTGATTTAAGAATGTTTAGATATTTGTGCTGAGGATATTAAACCCAGAGGAAGAACATCCTGCGTGT